GCAAGAGAAGGGTCCAGGGTGTGAACCATATTTTTTTTGGAACTAGAAAGTAGATGAATGGATTCACCCTAGTAGAGTTGCCAGCAACAAAGCAGTTGCATAAAGTTGATTGAATTCTCACACATTGCAGCACCTTGCTTAGTCCATTGCATTTATTATTTTTTAAATCCTCATAACAATCCCATGCGAGGCATTGGTACTTATCCCCGCTTTGCAGATGAGAGAATTAAAGCACGAAGGGATTAAGTGCGTTAGCCTTTGTCAATAATTTTGTTTGTAAGTGGAGAAGTTGATCATGATTTTATATAACTACTTTTTTTAGTGAACACGGGTGGCAGAGGGAAGAATATTTGGGCTGTCTTTCAGGGTCACACGTGGCGTTTGTTGGGCAAGTTATTTAACCTTTCTTAATATCAGTTTACTCTTCTGTCAAATGGGTGGTTTGTAATTTTGTGCTTCTTCAAGTCTGATGAGTTTAATCTGTGAAAGAGCACAAGAGGCCTGATCATCAAACTGAAATAATACGATGCCGCTAAATGTTAAGGGATACGTCACATATGGAACATTTTAACGTACGGGGGAAGGTAATAAAGGTAGCAATAATGAAAAAATGTTGTCTTTAATATTTTAAACTATTTGAATTTACTGTGGAGGCTAACATGTATACACATCTTTTGGCTCTTTGAGGCAAATGGCAAAGATGCCTTTGGTGGTCGTATTTAGGTAAAGCTGTTCAGGGCAGTGAGATTTCTGTCCTGTTTCTTTCCTGTGGTTGCTTGATGGTACCTGCTGCGTGTGTATCTATTTTCTTATTTCCCCCTCTTCGTCTCATTTTCCACTTCATCTTTGTCTTAAAAAATTCCTCACATAGTCCTCTGGTTAGGAAAGAAATTTATATGAAGATTATTCAGTTCATAACGGAGATTGTTTTATAGCAGACAATGGAAAACTTTGTAAGAAAGTAGAAATTTTTAGTGGGAAGAAAACCTGAACAGAATCTAAAATGACACATAATAAAATTTATTGACTATAAATTGACAACAGAATCAGATTTTCTAGCTAAAATTTAGATCTGCAATATATGACTACAACTTTAAGCTCACATTAAGAAGAATCTATGAGGAAAACTGGACGTAGAGAAACAATGAAATATTTTCTTGCAGCCTGGCCTGCGTGGCTCAGCAGTTGAGCATTGACCTAGGATCCAGGAGATCGCAGTTCGATTCCTGCTGGGTCTTGGGCTCGATCCCCAGCAGGGGACGTGCAGGAGGCAGCTGATCAATGACTCTCATCATTGATGTTTCTGTTTCTGTCTCTCTCTCTCTCTCCTTTCCTCTCTCTGAAATCAATAAAGATATTTAAAAAATAAAGGAATTATTTCAGTAAAATAAAATGGAATGGAAGACTTGGAAATGGTTTAACTGATGAAATGCATTAAGTTATTCAATGGAGTCTTTCTGCAAAAAATTTTCTCAGTTAAAATTCACTACCCTTAGCATACTTTTGTGTAAAATATTTATACTTAAGACACCATCCATAACATCAAAAGAGTCGAGTTGGAATATTTCATTATCAGTTGGCTTTTTATTTGCATCTGGATCTGCTTTTGGATCCCCACAGAAGTGGTTTCTATTTGCTATCTTGAAATCTGTAAGGCTGATTTATGAGCTCAAACTCATTGCTTTAAATGAGTTTACAATGGCATGGATGGTGGGAGATATTATTTAACATTTTCTGACATGCACACCATCTTGAATTTTTTTCAGGGGGAGAGGAGCTGTGACTTGGTGGGAAAGCCCATTTTCATTACTTTAATTGTGAGATTTATTAGGATTTTAAGCTTTTTATAAATGTTTTAGTGTTATAGGACAGAATTAAAAGGATTTAGAATAAAAGGAGTTTAACAAAAGGACTTTGCAACAGGGTTGCAATAGTTCTTATATTTGATGGATTTGGCTAGCCGCTTTCCATTTCAATCACCGTGCTGCATTCTGCTAACTGCTAGAGAACAGGCGTGTGTCACATCTTTCTCTCTATTGGACATGCAAATAAACACCATTTTATATATAAAAAGTTAATCCTCTACAATTTGGAGGATTACATTATGGGAGGGTGATGACTCCATTAGGCATCGTGGAGAGTACACGCTACTACTTATATTGCATGAAAAATCAGGTTAATAGCTACAGTGTTCATGAGATTGTAGAATTTTTATGCTGACACTTTCAAAATTGTATTTATTCAAACTATCCACAATGCAGAGTTAAGGTTTTGTTGCATAGTTTTCCAACTCTGAAATTACATTTTTTTTTTTTTTTAAACTGCAGAACATGTCTCAAATAAATTTGGAGGTTACGTTACTGTTTGTTTGCCTCTTGTAGACTCTGGTCCTTTCTATTTGCACGATTTTACTACTAGGTGCATCGGCGGTTACGCTGTTCTCAAGTTAGGGCTTTATTTTGTGGTTAAAAGTTTTTGTTTGGATTCCTTCTCTGAATACCCATGAAGAGTATGAGTCTTTAGTAAGTATTAGGCGGCTGACCTCCTACAGCGCTGTCAGCAGTACTAGTGTGGAATCGATCAGGACAGCCCAGGCCCCCTAAACCGATGGAGTTCTTGAATTCAGGCTTGAGAGACCATTCCTGCCAGTATTATTTGCATCTCAAGGCCACAATGCTTCATTCATCAACATGTCAGATTGGTACGTTTAGTGCAGGTACAGGCTGTAAGGCCCTTGCAGACACCGGGAAGCAGGAGGAAAATAGCCTTTGTTAAAGGCGAAGGTGAAATGGGTGGGAGTGAGGAGTTGGGCTGCTTATAGATGAAGTTCAGTTATAATTAATTTAAAGCACAAATGCTGTGGGCTTCCGACCAGTTAATTTTTAACTTGTGCTTCGTTCAAGTCATATTGTTACTCATGAAATCTGATTTATTTGTTTAGCAGGGGTAACAGCACACAATCCATAGTTATTAATGATTTGTAAAGACCTAAACGCTGATTGTTACAGCTCCTAAAAAGCTTAAATAGTTATAAAGAACTTTATTCATAGACATGAATTGTGATTTTGGTTTTGATCTCCATCGTATCCTGGTGTTGATAATAGAGCTGCCAACAGGCAATAGAACTTGTCTTATTTTGTGTGATTACTATATGCACAATTTATTTATTTATTTATTTAAAAAACATATCTTTATGGATTTCAGAGAGAGGAAAGGAGGGGGAGAGAGAGAGAAACATCAATGATGAGAGAGTCATTGATCGGCCGCCTAGCCCGCAACCCGGGCATGTGCCCTGACCCGGAATCGAACCCCGATCGCCTGGATCCCAGGTCGATGCTCAACCGCCGAGCCACGCCCGGCCGGGCTATATGCACAATTTAAAAGCATTATGTCATGTCACAGTCTAAATGTGTAACCATTAACCTGTTTCCTCTGTATTAAAACCTCATATCTTTGGAGTGATCCATTAAAATGGAGTGTTAGCCTTATAGTTGTGTTTTACCACCCAGTGAAGAAACAAAATATTGTTTAAAAAGTGCGAATGTCCCCTAGCTATCTCCCAGATATTTTCATCCTAACCTCCTGAGAGGTATATCCCTGTCTTGAAATTGGTGTATATCTTTATATGTTTATGCATTTAGTGCTTAATGTATCAAAATATCTATATATGTTTGTATATATGTATCTAAACACACACGCAACTTATTTCTGCCTCTTTCAAAATGTTTGTAGTAAAATTGTAGTGAAAATTGCATAACAAAATTTACCATCTTGGCAAAATTTTAAGTGTACAGTTCAGTAGTGTTAAATACATGCACAGATCTCTAGAACCTTCTCTGCTTACAAAACTGCAGCTCTGTACTCATTGAACAACTGCTCTCCATATCTTCCTCCACCCTTAGCCCCTGGTAACATTTCACTTTCTCTTTCTATGTGTTTGACCAGAAACTTCAAATAAGTGGGCTAATAGAGTATTTGTCTTTTTACGACTTGCTTATGTCACTTACCATAATGTCCTCAAGATTCATCCATGTGTAGCTTGTGACAAGATTCCCCGCCCCCTTCCTCTCCCCTCCTGACTTAGATATGTTTGCATTTCTTGACTTTATTTTTTTGCTTGTTGCTGCTGTTATATGGTTTCATATCCAGTAATGTTGTTGAGTTCATTTATTATTATTATTACCCTGACTGGGACTTCCAGTGTAGGGTTGAATGGGAGCAGTGACATTGGGCATCCTTGTGTTATTCCTGTTTTTAATGGGAATGCTCTGAAGCATTACCAGTGATAATATTTGTTGCAGGTCTTTTGTAGATAATCATTATTGGGAATGAGAAAAATTTCCGTTGTTTTAGTTTGCCCTTATCATGACTAGGTACATAATTTAATTGCTTTTTCTGCATCTGCTGAAATGTTAATATGATGAATACATTAATTGGTTTTGTAATGTAAAATTATTACTATGACTTGGGTAAACCCAACTTGGTTATAAGATTTTATTTTTTCTAATCTTTGCTATTCAGTTTAATACTATTTTAAAAAGGATTTTTACATTTATGTGTTTGAAAATGGCCTATAATTTTATAATTTTCTGGCCCTGACCTATCTTTTTTTAGTTTTGACATCAAGATTATACTATTCCTAGGAATTAGTTGGTAGAGCTGAGGCGATTTTTTGGATCTCATGGAGAATGTGTATAAGATTTAAGTTGATGCCAATTAAAAAAAGGTATTTTAAGAGCTGGTTCAGTTTTTAAAAATAGTTTTATTTATACCTTTTCTGTTTTTGCTCAATCAAGTTTATAAATTATATCAACTTATAGTGAATGTTTTGCTATCTTTAAATATTCTGAGAGCATGAAAATAATGGGCATTATATAAGAATACTTCTCAAAGTTTTGTTTTACANCTCTGGCTTTAAATATTCTGAGAGCATGAAAATAATGGGCATTATATAAGAATACTTCTCAAAGTTTTGTTTTACATTTTATGTTCCTTATCAGGTGCTCAGAAGTGTGACAGCTTTGCAGAAAAGAGGCCCCTCCTTGGTGTTTGTAAGAGCACTGGATCTTCTGGGTAAGGAAATTTTAAAAATTCTTTGAACCATGATTAAAAATTTATATTGTGATTTCAAAAGGGAAGCTTTGCTGACCCTCTGTTCCCATTTCCCTAATGATCTTAAGATGACTACTGACTTTTCAGTTAGTGCAGCTCCTCAACTCGAACTCCTAACTGCAAGGAAAGCTGGGAAACGATTCCAGTTTTGTTAGTAAGGAAGATGATTAGCATGGATATTAGGCATGGCAACCAGGGGCCCCTGTCACATGCTTTCAGCTCATAGCCTGCACTTTAGATCATGGATGCAGTGGAGAAGGGGGAAATGCGTTAATGGTATAACCTGATTAGCTCTTAGAGTCCTGACTGTGCTTTGTAGGGAAATGGTGTGACTACATGTGTTGTAAGTGTGAATTTTGGGGTTGAAGTAGGCAACAGTTTACTGTGCACTTAGCACTCTGCCAGGTATGGGATAGGATGCCAAAGCGTGAAAACTCAATTCCTTGTGCCAAAGATTTAAGGATGTGGCTGGAAAAAAAAAGTATATAGCACTCAGAAAATAATTATGGAATAATGATGTATGATAGGAATTCAGCGAAGGTGGAGATCCGTGTGCGTGGATTAAGGGGAGAAGGCCTCATGGAAAGGTGCAGCATGTGCTCGATCTAAAGGAACGGAAGGTTTTGAAGTACATGTAGAAGAGTAAGGACTTCCAAAGGAGGTTCTAAAGCTATACGGTAGAACAGAAACTGGTGTAAATACATTTAAGACTGATGAAAGCTTGTGACCTAGTACTAAGGTCATCTGCAAAACAGGCAAAACAACCTTTTCAGTGCTCTGGAACTGAATGGCTTACAACAATCTGGAGAGTGTTTATGTTTGAGAAACTGGTAAACTTTGAGTAATAACAGTGGGAATCTGTGGCATTCATGCCTGGAGCTGCTCCCATCACACTCCACCCTTTCCCCTTCCAAGTTGGTTGATTCTTCAAGAGCGGGGAAGGTCATGAGGACGGGCACTTTCCCTGCTGTGGCTGGAAGATGCTCGTTCAGCTTGGAGTGGCAGGTGTTGCCATGCCCAGCAGCCTTGTTCATGGGAGTTACAGTCTTGGGGGGGTGTGGGTTGTGAGGACAGTGGCTTCATGTATGTGCAGGGGATCCATGAAAGGCTCCAGGGAAACCAAAATCTGGGGAGACTTGAAAATGTTCCGAATGTTGAATGTGCTGCCTAGATTCTTCCGGAAAGGATGACATAGATTCTTTTGGAAAGGATGACAGTCTGTTATCGCCTTAGAGTATTTGAGAAATTCTCTGTTGAATCGTTGGCTAACCACTAAGCTATGTAGACATAGGGTCAACCCTAGCAAACCAGGCTTTAAAATAAAATAAGAATCAAAGAAAAGTAAAACCAAGCAGAGGCATTAGTAACTTCACATTGTGGAGGAAGACATGCCAGAGTTGTTATACCATGTTATGTAAAATGTTTAGTTTTCAACATAAAATCATGACACATGCCAAGAAACAGGAAAGTGTGATATATTGAAAAAAAAGGCAGGCAATAGAAGCTGTTCCTGATGATCTCCACTGTTAAATTCTACAGTCAAGGATTTTTTTTTTTTAATTTTTAAATTTTATTTTTGTTTAAAATGTCACAGATGTCCCTTTTTCTCCCCAATGACCCGTTCCACCCCATCCCAACCCCCTCCCCAGGCCCTCTCCTCACCATTGCCCGTGTCCTTGGGCTGTGCATATATGCTTACAAATTCTTTGGTTACTCTCTCCCCCTCCACCCACCCGCCCTCCTCCATCCCTCTGACATTGGTCAGTCTGATCCCTGCTTCCATCAGACAAGGATTTTTAAAGCAGCTTTTATAAATATATTCTAAGAAGTAAATGAACCATGTGTCTAGAATTAAAGGGGGATCTCAATAAGGTGTTAGAAATTATAGAAAAACCAAATGGACATTCTGGAGTTGAAGAGATGCAAAAAGTGAAATACCAAACTCGCAGGAGGAACTCAACACCGCATTCAAGTCAGCAGAAGAACCAGGGAACTGATGTGTTGACCAGGGAGCCGAAAGAGAATGGGCACCGCAGAGGAAATAAGCTACTGCAGTGAAGGGAAACAGTTGATTTCACTTTTCCTGATGTTTCTTTAGCCCTCTGTAACCCGGGTGCACGCAGACCTGGGGACACCCCTCAAAAAGATGTATTTGTGCAAGACGTTCAGCTACCTGCTGAGTTTGGCTTGTAGTTTTTGAAAGATGTTTTATTTCTTTTTTTTGTTTTTGTTTAATATATCTTTATTGATTTCAGAGAGAGGAAGGGAGAGGGAGAGAGAGAGAGAGAAACATCAATGATGAGAGAGTCATTGATCGGCTGCAGCCCGCAACCCGGGCATGTGCCCTGACCGGGAATCGAACCCCGATTGCCTGGATCCTAGGTCGACGCTCAGCCACTGAGGCACGCCTGGCTGCGCAATGTTTTATTTCTTATTAACCCTGCTAACTGTATGATTATTTCTGTAGGATTCATTTTGTGAGATATTACTATAAAAAAATAAGGTAAAAAAGAGGCGGTAAGGTGATTATTTATAGTCAGTGATGAGATAACTTACTGAGGGATGAATCTGATGATGTTAGTCAGGATTCTCCAGAGAAAAGGATCCAATAGGATGTGAGGGGAGTGTGTGTGTGTGTGTGGAGAGAGGGTGAGAGTGAGAGAGATTTTAAAAAACCAGCTCACATAATTGTGAAGGCTGGGAAGTCCAAAATCTGGAGACCGAGAGAATAGTTGCAATTCCAGTCTGGAGGCAGAAAAAGCACCTTCACAGAAACATCTAGAATAATATTTGACCAAATCTGATTATTGTGGCCTAGCCAAGTTGACACAGGAAATTAATCAGCACGGGGCAATGAATATAGTCCTGATTAATATGGCATTTGCCTTTTAGAAAAAGTCTATTGTAGATCCTTGTTTTCTTCTTCCCATTTTTTTCTTTTCAGTTTATGTCATAGAAGGGGAATCATTCTGGCAATAGACTTCTGTATGTCTGTATTACTTGCTGGGCTGTTTTAATAATGATTATTGATAAATATATGCAAAGAAACTTGAATGAAGTTCATAAGCCATTTCATGCATTCCAAGCTCTAGGGTAGGTACCTTGTGATTCCTGTGTATGTGTAAACTCTATTCCAGCATGCTCTCTTTTTTTCCTCTTTTGTTTTATACCTTTCTTTCTAATACAAGAGGCTGCTGGAAAATACTCGTTTTGTTTTCACGTATTTATTTGGTGAACTGATTATGTAGCATCTTCGTCAGAATGTTTACAATCTCAAGGACATTTTCATAGAGAACTGTGTTCTGTTTCTTGTTAAGTGTCATATTGCAATTGTTGTGAATAGAATTTTCTCTCTAATCCTAGCAAGCGATCTGTGAATATGTATATATGTTAAGTGTTAGCAGTAGGTTGGCAGATGGTAATGTCAAATACACTAGACACTTTTTAGTAACTTTAAAGTTGAATGTAACAGCAGAGAAACCTAGTTATGGGGAATTCTTTTAGAATCTGTTTCCCAATTCCTGGGATTAAAAAAGAAAATGTTATAACCCAATCTTTTTTTTATGAGGCATCTGCCTGTTGACTGTGCTAATATAGCACCAGGGACTGGAAGGCAAATGTTCAGCGCCCGCCATGCACCAGGTCTGTTAAATATTTTCCATTATGTAACATCGTTTAATCTTCAACAAGCCTGTGGAGGAGATCACATTATCCTCAATTTACACACGAGGAAACGGAAGCTAAGGGAGGTTCAGTCCCAGTTTGTTGTGGACCCAGGCCTTTGCCTTACTTGCCAGTCAGCAGATTTTGAGAAAAATCTCTTAATCTGAGGAACCATATGTACTGAACCAGGCTATTGGCATCTCCAAAATTTTAGGACCTCCTTCCCCCTTGGAGAGGTACAAGACATGTCATTTGCCATCTGTTTCCCTGGCAAATGCTTAATTGGTTACCAGGTAATTTGGACATTGTCAGTTGCTTATATTCACAATTAATACTGCCTGTTAAATTATTCTTGGGAAAAGTAAAAATTTTTAAATATAATTTTTATTTCTATAAATTTACAGTACCATTTCAAAGAATTGAGAGTTGCTATGGAAATAATCCCAGTTCTTCCTCATATTTCACCCTGTAGGTATAAACACATTATGCTTTAGCCCACAATTTAAAATACTGGCTCTTATTGCATTCATGATACTCATTAAAATGCCACTTATTTTGATATTCCAGTGATGTGTTCTTTCATTCTTTCGTGTGTGTGTGTGTGTGTGTAAGAGGCAATTCCATAATCATTCCAGATAAGCCATTTAAGGTCTTGGAGGGAGATAATGTTTATTGTGCTACTGATCCAGGGATTAAGTCAGTGCCTTATGTAACAGTTTGAGGGAGGGAGAGGAAGTATGGACAGTACACTAAGGAATATACACTCTCTTAGGAAACATTGTCTATTGTATACCAAACAGTTCCAGTAATGTGGCTGTTCGTGGTTAAGATCTTGTTGGGTATTATNTGAAGTTCATTGTCTATTGTATACCAGACAGTTCCAGTAATGTGGCTGTTCGTGGTTAAGATCTTGTTGGGTATTATGAATAATTGCAAAAGAGTAATATTGTTCAACAGCTGACTATAGACCTTGAAACATGGTTACTCTAGTATACTCCCATCATGTTACACACAGTGTGTGGATTGGAGGTGTGATGTTTACATGGAGAAACATAGACTGTTGGAAGTAGAAAGAACCTTGAAGATCATGTAATTTAACCACAGACTCTCATCATATATCCATTTGGTGAAGGGAAGTTCTTGTAAGAGCGAGAAAACTTCTTTATTTCAATTAGTTAGGAGTCTCTTACCCTTTATTAAATACGCACTCTGCGGCTATATTTCCAAGTCAGAAAAATGAAAAATTTGGCAACCAAGGACATACCTATAAATGAGTATCTGTTATATTACATTTATTT